ACGCTATGCTCACCAATTCCAATCCAACGCACCAGCTGGTGGGATGGCAGCAGGCGGCAGCACAGGTGGGAGGAGGCGATGCTGTGGAATGCCGGAGGGATGCAGGCAATGCAGATTGCATCTCAGGTGACGATAGTAACCATGATTGCACAGGTGGGAGGAGGCGATGCTGTGGAATGCCGGAGGGATGCAGGCAATGCAGATTGCATCTCAGGTGACGATAGTAACCATGATTGCACAGGTGGGAGGAGGCGATGCTGTGGAATGCCGGAGGGATGCAGGCAATGCAGATTGCATCTCAGGTGACGATAGTAACCATGATTGCACAGGTGGGAGGAGGCGATGCTGTGGAGTGCCGGAGGGATGCAGGCAATGCAGATTGCATCTCAGGTGACGATAGTAACCATGATTGCACAGGTGGGAGGAGGCGATGCTGTGGAATGCCGGAGGGATGCAGGCAATGCAGATTGCATCTCAGGTGCACCCCTAGCCCTCTCCACCTCTGAGGTCGCTGTGTGTCGCCACAGCTCACCAAATTGCGGGTGTGCAATGATGGGCTGCACACCCACCACTTTACCCAGAATGTCTGGTAAATGTAATGGAACATGAAATATCCCATCGGCAAAGGCTATCGTAACCACAGCTGGTTTCTGAAAAGTTAGCTATTGCAGCTGCATAGCACCCTTTTCGTGTCCCTGAGCTCAATATGAGATTGGAGCGATTGAGAGGGCAGGGTACTTGGGGAAGCAAAAGTGATACGGAAACGATAGTGCAGTGGGATGTGTAGTCTGGGACCGGGTATGGGATGAGGTATTGGCTGTGCTATGGAACGAGGAATAGGATGGAGTTTGGGATACGGGAGGAGGCATGTGATAAGGAGTTGCTGAGGTAGAGGATGCGGTGCGGGATGACGTATGAAGTATAAGATTAGGTAAGAGATGAGGAACGGGATGACATGTGCATGGATGTCCCATCCCTGGTAGGTCGCACAAACAGGGCACGTGATGTGGATTGAAATAAGAAAGCCCCACCATACTCTGAACACTCTCAGCTTTGCAGCGCTGATCATCGCCAGCCATACACATTCTTCCTATACCACCGGAATTCACCTCACCGCCACCATGCTATCATGGCAATGCAACTACAAACATTTCTCCCTGTCCCATAAGTCTGCCTCGTCGTTGCCCTGCAGTGGCCCTTTCGCCCTCTTCCAACTGCTTGCCCACTACCTCACTCACAATTCTCCTCCACACCCTCCCTCCTATACTCCACTCACTCATACTGCTTCCAACCAGCTGTGTGACTTGCTGCAGCAGCTGCCATGAGGAGGCGATGGAGGGGAAACAAGAAAAAGGGGCCAGCGAGATTTGCAAGGGAAGTGCTGGGAGGAGTTTATGGGCTGTTTGCAAAGGGGATGGTCAGGAAGGAGAACTGGCAGTGGCAGGAGGAGGAGAGGCATGGAAGGTACAGAGAAGGCGATGAGGAATGGAGGAGCACAGTGGGGCTGGTGTGTTCATGTGTCGCCATTTCCCCCAACAAATGCAGCAAGTCAAATTAAGACTCCCAACTTAGCCACTCACCCCTTGAAGCAATGTAGGGGACATTTCATGTGTCTGCGCACATCACATCACATCACAAACACCCAACAATCCCAGGACCTTCTAATTATCCATGCAAGGATATCACCAGTCTAGATCAAGCCACAAGATGAGGACGCGGGGGAGAGGAGGTGTGGAGTTGAAGTAAACTGGGGGGGTGGAGAAGGCGGGAGGGGGGAAAGGTGGAACTGTAATGCAGCACTGGCAGAAGTGTGCGTGCAAGGAAGCAGCACGGACACAAGCGGACTGGCAGGGAGACGACGTGACGTTGGTATGAGTGTGGCATGTGACGCCCTGCACGGTGGAGCAGTCAGTTGTTGCTGCCCGACCACGTCTTGCCAGCGGGCACAGAGGAGCGGGCGGGGAGGGGAGGAGAGCCACGCGCGTGCGGAGACCAGAGGGGCACGCGGGACAGGACGAGGGCTGTGCAACAGATGAGTGAGGGTTGTTGGAATAGGGGCTGGGAAGAGGGAGTGGAGGGAGGAAAGGGAGGCAAAGGAGGGGAGGGGGCGTGATGATAGGGTAGTAGCATGGGAAAGGGGGCGAGGGGAGAGGCGGAACGAGGAAGTTAAGGGCGAGCTGTGCGTTCAGGAGAGCGACTGATCGCTTCAGGACATGCGCAACGGCTAGAGTGCTTCTGAGGAACGCGGTGAAAGAGAGTCACATTGGCATTGGAGAATCTCGCATCACCACGGACCACCCCTACATGCCACCGCCCCACCGCCCCATACCTTCTCATACCGCCGCTCTATGGCGGGGCCCAGGCGCACACACAGTCTGCCGCCTGTACTTGCCGTGCCGCCACCAGCATGCAGCGCAGGGCAGGCAGAAGCGGGTGAGCAGCAGCAGTGGGAACAGGGGAAGCAGGAAATGGGTCTGCCTGCGTTTGGTAAGGCCGGCAGAGGGGACGAATGGGAAGGGGGAGGGGAGGAAATGACACGGGGAGATGGGAGCGGAAGACAGAAGCGAGGCAGAGGGAGAGGGCTGGGATGAAGGAGAGGGAGAGCACCCCCACTCCCCATGACACCACCCCCATTTCCCCCCCTCCACCCCCCGCCCCCTTTTTTTTTCATTTCCTTCCCTCATATGCAACCCCTCGTAGCGCTTACCTGTCAGGGCTTTATCCTTGCTTAGGTTGCTTACGCGTTCTTACCTTTACTTTACCCTTGCCTTTGCTGTACCTCTTTTATTAAATGACAAGGACAGTTCGAGAGTTGGGGGTGTCCATAGAGGGGTTGACTCAGTTGCACTGCGCGACGATACACTGCGCGACGATACACTGCGCGACGATACACTGCGCGACGATACACTGCACGACGATACACTGCATGACGATACACTGCGCGACGATACACTGCCCTACGATACACTGCACGACGATACACTGCGCTACGATACACTGCGCGACGATGCGCTCCCCAAGCGACGAGGTACACGCACATTCGCGGCACGTCCGTAAAGCCGGCCTCACGACTCTTAACTCCCCCACCGACGCGGCCCCCCTAGGCATCGCGTGCCGTCAGGTCTGCAGTGTGCTCTGCGTGGGGCTACGAGCTCTCTCGCGCTCGCTGTGGTGCCACTGGGAACGTCCGCCGCCGCCGCTTCAACGATGCCAACCCTGCTACTACGCTACGCGTGAAATGCTGCTGCGTGCTCGCCGTTCCAGCTGCCGCCACGGCAGGACGCGGCGAGCACGCGGCCGAGCTGCCATACGGTCATCCTCCTTTGCGTCCAGGAGCCAAACTAAACCACGGGTTTGGCCCCGCCATATGCCACGCCATCAGCTCTCGGTGACTCAAGGAGTCGACAGCCACCTGACCGCGGCCGGTAATAGTAGTAACAGCGCTCGTCCTTCTAGGCGAAAGCGCGGAGAGCATGCAGGCAGCGCATTCTCGAGAAAATGCAAGCGGCGCAGGTGCGCCTCACCTCGCCTGTGCGAATCTTACCGCTGCGTGACGTGGCGAAATGGCGGCGTGACATGGTGGATTGGCGACGCAACGTGCCGAAATGGCGGCGGGACGTGGCGAAATGGAGGCGTGACTTGGCAAAACGGGAACGGGGGCGTGACACGGCGAAACGGGGGCGTGACACGGCGAAACGGGGGCGTGACATGTCAAAATGGCCGTGACATCTCGAAAACGGTGGCGTGACAAAGGCGAACGGCGGCGGTGGCGTTACATCAGCACAGCCAGGCGACAGGAAAGCACTAAACGGACCTTGGAAGGGGTCAATGGTCACACTGAGGACTGCATGGAGAGCACCATAGCAAGCGCGCCGAGCCTATAGCTCAAAGCACCAATCACGACGACTAAACCCGGTAGGACCGACAGTGAAGCATAGGATCTAAATTTTAGGCGCCTAAATAATAGACCGACGAGCACAGCAGAGCAGACTTCTAAAGCCTCGACCGTAAAAACCACGAGAGTGGGTGAATGGATTCTAGCTCGCTTCCTGCTTGAGCAGCGGCTCCTCAAGGCATTTTGGAGCAAGCAGAGAGACCAAGGCGAACTGCTCAGGATTTGGTTCTGTTTGCTGGAAGCAGACTTCATAGCGTCACCGAAATTGTTCATGTCGCTACAGCATTGTGCGAAGTTCCGAGTTCGCAAAAAACTGGCCAAGAACTTTCGAGTGCCGAAGCAAAGGGTGTACGTCCGGAACGCCTGACTTGGGTGGCGTTTTGGTCCTCAGCGAGCCGATTGGCGTGGGACGCGTAAACTTCGGAGACCTGTGCATTAGGTTTGGTTTCTGGTATTGGGGGCGACATTTCAGGGGTAACCGGATTCGTTTATGTCATCAGGTATCGTACGAAGCCCCCAAAACGGCGGGGATCAGGCTTGACCTAGTCTGACGACACCGAAGCTGACTCGTGTCGCTTCCGAACCTTTCGCTTCCCCCTTTCACCAAACCTCACCAACGGGAATTTCGCTTAGCAAGGGAGTGCTCGTGTAAAAGGAGGCTTTTGGCTAAACCTCATTTTTTATCTCTGTTCGACAGTCATTACAGCCTCCAACCCTAATTTCGAACCTTCCGCGCCGAGGTTCCTTAGTCTGTTGGTCCTCAAATCCCCTCTTCCCTTTCCTTCATAGTAGTGCAATCTACAGATCCAGCCAGAGCACTACGCATTGCTAGATCCATAAGTAAAACAGAAACGGAAACGTGAGATCTGCTAGCCTAGACGTTACCAAAAGGCTTGTAGATCAGACACCTAGAATGGAGCCTCTGGGTCCACCCAAGCCGTCGAGGCCATGTGATCTGGCTAGCCGGCGCGTGGAGAAACCAGGTGACGAGCACCAGCGGAACGAGCATCCCCGTTACGAACTTCCGCGTTACGAGCATCCCCGTTACGAACATCCAGGTCCATCGGCCAGCAGCAGCAGCAGCACGCGAAAATCACCAGCGACAATGAACAGCCTGCCTGACGAGATTCTGTCTAGGATTCTCTTCCTCGCAGCAACCACCGACAACTCTCAAGTCGACGCTGCCGCGAGCGACGCAGGTCCCAGCGTCGAGTCCGATGTCAGCCCGTGCCATGGCTTGGGGATGGTGTCGAAGCGATGGGCCTCGCTGCTGCCCGTCGTGCGCATCAACGCTCCTGCCGATTCTCCACCTCGTCGGGAGGAATATTACCGTTACTACGAATCAGGTTTTATTCAATATACGGATAAAAATCTGCTTCCCGTCCCCAAGCTCTCCACGCCCGCGCTCCTCCGCACGCTGTCCCGCGCACCGAGCGTGACTTCCCTCACGCTGGGCGACGGCGCAGTCGATTTCTACGATGATAGCTTCCTTACCTCGCTGCTCGCCGCCTCTCCCAAGCTGACCTGCTTGACCCTCGGCGAGCCTCGTTTCACCGACGCACCGCCGCCCTTCACCATCAGCTTCGCGTCGCTCAACTCATTCTTCCGCGCCGCAGCGCCGCAGTTACAGGAGCTCGCGCTGCTGCTTCCTTACGAGGCCAGGAAGCATCTTGATTCGATTTCGTCGCTGTCGTCGCTGCGCGTGCTTCGCCTCCACTCCAACACGATTCAACAGCTCCCGGACGGATTGTGCCATCTGCCCGCGCTCCAGGAACTGCAGTTCAGCTGCTCGATGCTGTGGGATGTGCCCGAGGACTTCGGGCAGCTGAAAGCTTTGACGCGCCTATCCATCGTCGACAGCCAGAACGGCGCGCACAGCCTGCCCGATTCTCTGGGCGACCTCTCGTCGCTCACCTCGCTCTGCATAGCCTTCCCGTGCGGCCGACTCCCGAGTAGCGTCACCGCGTTGCATCAGCTGCGGCGCCTGCAGCTTCGACGCTACGACAGCGACTTTCCAGACGGGTGCGAAGCGTGGACGCGGCTGGAAGAGGTTTCGCTCGAGAAATGCAGCGTGCGCTCTTTCCCCCCTGCGTGGCTAAAAACCCTAAAGCGCCTCACTGTTCGCTCCTGCCAGAACATGGAGGCTCTTCCTTTAGACGCCGTTGTTCGGGGCTCACCGCTGCGTCACTTGACTTTCGAGGGAGGCCTGCACCCTTTACCGCTCCACCCTCTCAGCCAACTATCCTCTCTCCAACGACTCAAGGTCTCGGTTCAAGATCTCTTCTGGCGCTTCACTACTGGGGATGAGGACTTCCCTATGGGCTTGTTGGCGTTGCCGTCGCTGTCGCACGTGAGCGTGGACAGGGTGGCATGGGTGGAGCAAGGCAACGCGCCCAAAGGGTCTTTGCTGGCCTATCTGCCTCTCGCCCTCGCTTCGGAAACCGCCGCTGCTGCCGATGCCTCGGCGGCCGCAGCTGCTGCAGCTGCCGCTCCTCCTGCTGCTGCTGCTCTTGCTGCTGCCGCTGCTAGTGCTGCTGCTGCTTTTGCCACTGCTGCTGCTGCTGCCGCTGCAGCCGCCACCGCCGCCGCCACCGCCGCCGCTCAAGCCGAGTGCTCGTTTCTCGGCCCCTCGTTGCAGCACCTAGAATTGAGCTTAGGTGAAAAGGACTCGCAAGGCAGCTACCTATCCGCTCACCTCTGGTCCCTCTGCTCGCTCACACACCTCTCCATCTCCAATCTCAAGCCTAGAAGTTTCGTGCTGGCCGCCTTTGGCCGCCTCACCAACCTCCGTTCTCTCTCCCTCTCCGGCTGCTTCCTCCGCCTCCCAGACTCCCTCTCTCTCCTCGCCCCATCCCTCCAGTCCTTATCACTGGAGTACGACTTTACCTCCGCCAGCACCAGCAAAGGCACCAACAGCAGCGGCGGCGGCAGCAGCAGCGGTGGCGGCAGCAGCAGCAGCGGCGGCAGCAGCGACAGCAGCATCTCGGAAGACAAGCGCCCTCATTCATCTCCTCTCACACTGCCCTCATTCATCTCCCACCTCACCTCCCTCACCGAGCTTCACCTCACTGACGTTTTCATCCCCTCTCCGCTTCCTCGCCTCGCCCGCCTGCTCTCACTCCGCAAGTTACGCATCACGAAGAGCGCCCACCTTCCTCACTCTGAGCCCTTCATTCCCTTCATTCCCTCCATTCCCTTCATTCCTGAGAACATCAGCGACTTGGCAGCGCTGGAGTCGCTAGAGCTGAAAGAGCGTGTGTCGGATAAGGAAGCTGCGTCATATAGAAGCATGTTAGCCAGGATGGCTAGAGGAGAAGAGCCGCAGCCTGAAAGGTGCAATCAGCTGGATCATTTACCACAAGAGTTTGGATCCCTTGGGACACTAACGAGGCTGGTTATTGAGGGATCGTTTTCCTCTCTGCCAGACACTCTTGGCGGCCTGACCTCCCTGCAAGAAGCGTCTTTGAAGTGTCCAGTCCTTGCCAGCCTGCCTTCCTCCTTCTGCCTCCTCTCTCGCCTCCACACTCTCACCATCACCGGCAGTGACTGTCTTGTCACCCTGCCCTCTGATTTCGGCTCCCTAGGCGCCCTCCAACGCCTCTCCATCCACTCCTGCTCTCACTTGCACAGCCTTCCCAACTCGTTCTCCTCGCTCGCCTCGCTTGTCCACCTCGCCATCACAAAGTGCCCCCAGCTTTCCGCCCTCCCTGATGGCTTTGGCTCTCTGCCCCGACTGGCCCGGCTGGCGGTCATCTACTGTGACTCCTTCACTCACCTGCCCGCCTCCTTCCCCTGCCTGCCGTCCCTCCGTGTGGCCAGCTTCAGCTGCTGCCCGCGCCTGCATGCCCTGCCTGCAGACATGGGTCTGCTGCCGCGCCTAGAGGCGCTACTTCTACGGGAATGTTTGGCACTCAGGACTCTGCCTGATTCGCTCAGACAGGCCAAGGCGCTTAGGCATGTGGATCTATCGAAGTGCGGGGTGGCTAATTTAGGCCGTTTTGGCAGGCATGCGGGCAGGAATGCAGACAGGAAAGCGGACTGGTATGGAACAGGAATTTATTTCGAATGGGGACCACAGGATGACTACCATTACTATTGATCCTCTGGTCGGCTATGAGTTTCGAGTTTTGTTGGCTGGATTTTTCCCTTGACTAGTGCTGGTACAGGCGCAGAGCTTACAATGTTTCAGATTTCATCACTGTAACAGTGAACCTCATGCATTTGGTACTAAAAAAAAATTCATAAAATACCTACGCCTCTTTTCTAGACGCAAATGTTTCACATGAGGCATTAGTGCAATCTATACAACCTTCTGTTCTAAACTTGGCATTCACAGACTTAAAACCCGCAAGCCAAGTTATTCAAGCTGAGGAAGGTTGGTTGGAAGTGAGGACGGTATTCGCCCGCGAGCCAATAGGAGTGACGAAGTTGTTGGTGTTGGAAACAATTAACTCTAAGCGCCTCTGTCGTGTCGAAACACCAAGTCAGAAGCGAAGCAAAGCATATCGAAGCACCAGCGAGTCAACCCTCGGAGGTTGAAGTAACTGTCGGAGGTAACGCGAAAGTCAAAGGTCAGCGACCTTTGACCTGACAAGTACAGCGCGACAGCAAGGACACACAACTGGCTCGTTACAGAGCAGTTGCCCGAGTCGTCACTGTATCGAACCGCAACAGCAACAGTAAAGTAGTTATAACTTTGTCTTTTCATATTCCCTGTATTCATATATAATCTTGTATCTCTTTGCTTTAATCAATCAACTTTGCCCTCACATACTAGTGCAAGGTGGTTCACAACTCTTCATCAAACGCTTCCACTACTACATCAGTTCTACCCAGAATTCACCCCTGCAAAGATCCTAAGGGCTATTTCTCAGCCCAACATGGTATGAGAGCTATCAGGGGAAATTCAACTATCAAAACACCTACAACATCAGAAGACATGGCTACTCAGAAGGAAAGGAGCTCCTCCATTGGTTCACCTTGTCAGACTTATATGCTATAGTCTTTCTAGGCTGTAGTGGGGTAGACAGTATGGGGTACAACTTTCTAGGGTTTCATACTTGTACCCAACTTTTCCTCATTCCATTTCTCGTTTCTTATCATGGTATCGAGCAGGTTCCCTAGTGGGAGGGAACGCTTCCTAGGGCCCACCACGATATATTTTTTTTCCTGCCCGGAGCGCGCTTCGCTCCTACCCGAGTCGCGCCCCGTGTGCCCTCCCTACCGTCGCGCCCTCTCACGGCCCCTCACGGCCCCTTCGCGTTGTTAGACTGAGAAAACCCTTAGGATCTTTGCAGGGGTGAACTCTGGGTAGAGTTGGTGTAGTAGCGGAAGTGTTAATTAAAGAGTTGTGAACCACCTTGCGCTAGTATGTGAGGGCAAAGTAAGTTGATTAAAACAAGTGGATACAGGTTTATATATGAGTACAAGGAATACGAAGAGATGCAGTTATAACTGTATTGCTGTTGTGGTTCGATACAGTGACGACTCGGGCAACTGCTCTGTAGCGAGTCAGTTGTGTGTCCTTGCTGTCGCGCTGTATTTGTCAGGTCAAAGGTCGCTGACCTTTGACTTTCGCGTAACCTCCAACAATTACTTTCAACCTCCGAGGGTTGACTCGCCGGTGATTCGTTATACTTCGTTTCTTTTGTGTCTTAGTGTTTCGACACGACAGAGGCGCTTAGGACCGATTGTTTCCAACACGCGTCGCCCTTAGCAGCCCCTCTCACGGCCCCTCGCGCCGCCCTTACGGCCCCTCGCGCCGCCCTTACGGCCCCTCGCGCCGCCCTTACGGCCCCTTACGGCCCCTCGCGCCGCCCGTCGGCCCCTCGCGCCGCCCTTACGGCCCCTTACGGCCCCTCGCGCCGCCCTTCGCGGACCCTCGCGGCCTCTTTACGGCCCGTCGCCGCCCTCCACGGCACCTCGCGCCGCCCTTCACGGCCCCTTTGCCGCCCTTCGCGGCCTCTCGCGGCCCTGTCGCCGCCCTTCGCGGCCCGCCGTCGCCGCCCCTTCAGCAGCAGCCGCCGCCGTCCCTGCAGCAGCAGCTGCCGCCGTCCCTGCAGCGGAAGCCGCAGCTGCCGCAGCCGTGACCAGCAGCAGCCGCCGCCACCTCCCTCGGGACCGCAGCCGCCGCCGCCGCCACTGACTGCAGCCGCCGGTGCGCCTTGGCCCTACCGGCGCGCCTCGGCCCTTCCTGCGCGCCTCGGCCCGTCCCTGCCGGTGCGCCTCGGCCCGTCCCTGCCGGTGCGCCTCGGCCCGTCCCTGCCGGTGCGCCTCGGCCCTGCCCCACCACTTGCGGCTCTCTGCCCTGGTAAGAGTGTCGCTGCACTGCGCTGTCACTCCTGCCACTACTGCTACTGCTGCCACTGCTGTCATGGCTACCCCCAGTGTCCTTACCTTTGATCCTGAGGGTCGGGCTGTTGATTTTGAGGTCTGGGTCGATGACCTGCAGCTTTTCCTATAGTGCGATAGGGCAGACGGACTCTCTCTGTTTGATCTCACCTCTGGTGCCTCTCCTGCCCCGCCTGCTAGTGCTGACAGCACTGTTCGCTCACAGTGGGCCACACGCGATGCTGCTGCACGTCTTACTGTGCGTCGCCACTTACCGACCGCTGAGCGTGCGCACTTTAGTCAGTACAAGAGTGCTAAGACCTTGTACGATGCTGTAGTTGCACGCTACTCTTCCCCTGCCACAGCTGCTCTTAGCCGCCTCATACTGCCGTACCTGTTCCCTGACCTTGCTACCTTTCGCACAGTCGCTGAACTCATTACGCACCTTCGCACTAGTGACACTCACTACCGCGCTGCGCTTCCTGCTGAGTTCTGTGCCAAGAACCCTCCCCCCATGTACATCACCCTCTACTACATAGTCACCCGGCTCCCTGACTCCCTTCGCGTAGTCAGGGACCACTTCCTCTCAGTTTGCCCCACCACACTCACCGTTGACCTCCTTGAGGAGCGCCTCCTGGCAGCAGAGAAGAGTATAGTTGCTGTAGGAGCCTCTAGAGGTGACCCGCGTGCCCCTGTCTTTGAGGGGTGCTCCCCCTCCCCCCTTTTGCCCTCTGTTGCCTCTGCTGCTGCCGTCGACTTCGTTGGCACCGAGTCGGTCGGCGCTGCGTCTGCCCCTAGCGGGCGACGCCGCACCGGCAAGGGCAAGGGGGGCAAGGACGCTGGAGGGGCTGGCGGGGGCAGTGGAGGTGGAGGTGGAGGAGGCGGAGGGAGTGGGGGTGGTGGTAGGGGTGGTGGCGGGGGTGGGGGCTTCGGTGGCGGCAGTGGCGGCGGAGGCGGCGACGGCGGTGGTGGTGGGAGCGGAGGAGGAGGCAGTGGCGGCGGTGGCGGAGGTGGCGGCGGAGGAGGTGGAGCTAGTCGGGGTGGCTCTGCGCAGCGGAGCAGCTCAGGTGGTGGTCAGCGCCAGCAGCAGCAGCGCACTCGTGAGACCCCGTCCCCCCAGCAGCTTCGTGAGTGGTACACTGCGCGTCAGCGAGGTGGGGGTGCTGGTCCCTGTACCTACGTCCTCCGTACCGGCGACCGAGCTGGTGAGCAGTGCGGGGGCTTGCACTCCACCCAGCGCTGCTTCGGCCGCCTGACGGACGCTTGGCGTCACCAGTTCCCTGACGCCACTGAGATCCCTCGCTGGGGAGAGCTGTCTAGGGCGGGGGTTGCTATCTATGATCTTGACTATGATGCTATTCTTGCTGCCATGTATGCTGTGTCTGCTAGTGATGAGGGTGACTGTTACCTGTGTGTTCCGCCTGACCCGGGCATTGAGGCTGCTGCTCTAGGTGCTCGTGAGGCTGCTGCTCTAGGTGCTAGTGCGTCTGCTGCCCCAGGTGCTGGTGAGTCTGCTCTCTCAGGTACCACGTCGGCTCAGGCCTTACACACCTTCACCCTTGACTCGGGTGCTTCCCGCTCCTTCTTTCGAGACCGCACACCGCTTACGCCGCTTAGTCGGCCGGTTGCGGTCTCCCTGGCGGACCCCTCTGGGGGTCCTGTCCTTGCTCGCTTCTCCACTGTCTTACCGTGTCCGGCAGCCCCCTCTAGCACCCTGTCAGGTCTTTACCTCCCCTCGTTCTCTACGAACTTGGTGAGTGGTGCTGATCTACAGGATCGGGGGGTTGACCAGTTCACTCCTGCGAGTCAGCGGGTGACCCACTGCACGTGTGCTCGGACAGGCCGACACTTGGCCACGTTTACCCGTCGACCGGGGTCGAGCCTGTACACACTGACCACTGAGTCTCCTCCGGTTGCTGAGTCTGGTCAGGTAGCTGCGTCGAGTCAGGTGTTTGCTGCAGCGTCCAGGTCTGGTCCTGAGTCTGCTCCCTGCTCGTGTCGTCTCCTGTCCCACCAGACTCTCCTTTGGCACCACCGCCTTGATCACCCCTCCCTGCCTCGTCTCCGAGGCATGGCCTCCCGTGTCCTTGTCTCTGGTCTCCCCCGGTCCCTCCCTTCCCTCCCTCCGGGGCCTGCCCCTACCTGCGTTCCCTGCGTCGAGGGGCGGCAGCTCGCCACCCCTCACTCCTCCGAGTTTCCTCCGACAGAGGCTCCCCTGCAGACTCTTCACATGGACGTGTGGGGCCCAGCCCGCGTCCGTGGCCAGGGTCACGGGCGTTACTTCCTGTTGGTGGTTGACGACTACTCGCGTTACACCACGGTGTTCCCCTTGCGCAGCAAGGTTGACGTCACTGAGGTGTTGATCGACTGGATCCGCGCAGCTCGTCTCCAGCTCAGAGAGAGTTTCGGCTCGGACTTTCCTGTTCTGCGTCTGCACTCTGACAGAGGCGGGGAGTTTTCCTCTGCCCGTCTGGGAGCCTTCTGTCGTGCACAGGGCATCCGCCAGACCTTCACGCTTCCGGCCTCTCCACAGCAAAATGGGATTGCTGAGCGCCGCATTGGCATGGTCATGGACGTCGCTCGTACGTCCATGATCC